CACAGAAAGTTTCAAAGTTTCAAACTTCTAAACCTTTAACATTCACATATTCCAAAGTTCCATACTTCCACATCTCCAAACTTTCCAACATTAAAATTCTTCAAGTTTAATTCCTCAACGCATTTAAAATACGCGCCATTACGCCGCCATTTTCTTCTCCGCCATAATTCGATAATTGCTATTTAACTTAGCCTTCTTTGCTTTGCTTCGTTTACTTTATTTTCTTTGACGACGTATTTTAGCACCGAGAAGCGGTGGATGCTAAGATTCGTAAAAAACAACCCTCTGGAACCTCAGCAACCCTCGAAACGTGATACCGACCCGTTTCACTTAGTTTTTATTCCACGCTGTAAATTTTCTATCTCGTATCGCGTGACTGATAACGCGAACCTCTGTGTTCTGTTTTACGTAACTTACTTTTATTAAACAACATGTAGTTTATGTAAATGTCCACTTTTGTTTATGACGGTAGATCTTGTAGTTAACTTTAATGGGGATATATTCGGATTTGCCTTCTGGTTTATGCAAGGAGAAACCAGTTAAACTTTTACTTGGATAAGAAACAAGCAACCGAGTCTTTCTTTATCAATAACGATCATTTTTACAGTTAAAATTTTATAATATCTTTTTTTTAATCTTTATAACATTTGTAATTGTGCAAAGTTATGTAAAATAATTTTGGTTAAAAATTTATGATGAGTAGTCGTTTAATAAGCGGTTATTTAACAGATGGTCACTTAACCAGCGGTTATCTAAGAGGTGGTCATTTAACTGGCTGTTACTTAACAGACAGTCATTTAACAAGTAGTGAAGCAACAAGACAATTATTCAGTATGTAACATTTATATTATATATATAATTTAAACGTTGTTTAATGTAAAATTATCTCATGATTACAAGTTTAAATAAATTTATTTACTTTTGTACATTTTTAACAAATTTAAGTTATGAATAGAAAATTGCAAATGTAATTACTAATTAAAATTATGAACAAGGAATTGTTAAAGGAATATTTACTTTAGTTTAATGAATATTACTTGTCGAAACTTGATTAACTGTGAAGATTGAATAGATTTTGTTTCGCGCGATAAAAAAAGGTCTGTTATCGAAATTTTGCGATTTACCGCCGTTTCACGATGCTCCTCGTCGAGTCTGTTTGTCACCGGACCTTTCCGCGACGTCGTTTACCGGAAGTGATATTGAATCGAGGCAATCGACTATTTGTAATCGAAGAACGTCAGCCCGCCTCTGGTTCGTTGCTAATTATATTCGGACCGTGGTATCGAATGCAGTCGGTGGCAAACGGATTCCAACGGGTGTTTTCGACGTTTGTCAATGGATTCTAGCGTTTTTAAAAGGCAAAAAATAAGGGCGGAAGTGGCCACTTATCGATGCCCGAGTTCACGTTTTCGTTTGTCTCCAATGAAACGATTCCAACGAAAATTTCTCTCTCTACTGCCGTGAAAACAATTTTCAACGTGCTTTACTCTCGAGCACCTCCTTCAAACACCGAACTTGATACACATTGTCACCAACAAATTTTCGCAAACATATCTGTATTAATTATTTATTAAGGTCATCTTTATCGTTTTACGCTGTTCCACTTTAAACCCCTTAATCAACAATCTTCTGGACCCTCGTTCACTAATAGCTAATAATGCCTACAACGAGAAAATAACTGAAGAAAGTTAAAACGTTAGCTACATTATGCCTTTAATGATCCTTCATTATGTAGATTATTACCAGAATTGGAAGTAAAATTAAATTGCAATGAGAATGTGAGTTTGGTGTATCACACACGAATTTTGTGCGTCACGAGTGCGTCAAAGGTGCGCCATAAGTCATCACGAGTGCGTCACAAATGCGTCATAAGTCATCATGAGTACGTCATGAATGCGTCATAAGTCGTCACTAGTGCGTCACGAACGCGTCATAATCCTTACGAGTGCGTCAAGAGTGTGTCAAGTCGTTATGAGTGCGTCACGAGCGCGTCATAATCCTTACGAGTGCGTCAAGAGTGTGTTAAGTCGTTATGAGTGCGTCACGAGTGCGTCAAGAATGTGTCAAGTTGTTATGAGTGCGTCATGAGTGCGTCATAATCCTTACGAACGCGTCAAGAGTGTGTCAAGTCGTTATGAGTGCGTCACGAGTACGTCATAATCCTTACGAGTGCGTCAAGAGTGCGTCATAAGTCATCATGAGCGCATCACGAGTGCGTCATAAACTTCACGAGTGCGTCATAAGTCATCATGAGCGCGTCACGAGTGCGTCATAATCTTCACGAGTGCGTCAAGAGTGCGTCTCGAGTGCGTCACGAATGCGTCATAAGTCATCACGAGTGCGTCTCGAGTGCGTCACGAATGCGTCATAAGTCATCACGAGTGCGTCTCGAGTGCGTCACGAATGCGTCATAAGTCATCACGAGTGCGTCACTAGTGCGTCACGACAATGCAAATATACAAAATATCCTTTACATAACACATTTCTCAAATCAAATATTGAAGACACTTAACCAGTCACTAAACAAGACACGTACTCGAAATGAACTCCATATTTAATCACATTCGGTAAAATATAAATAAAAGCGAATTAATCAAAAATATTGACCAGATCAATTAACGAGAGAGGTCAACGACGCCAAATGAAATTGTACTCTCTGTCTACTTCTGCTGCGAAAAAAAATAAAATCGACACAGTTCATAAGTAGCATTCTCAAATTAACAACGAAATCGAATAAAACCGTCAATTAGACGAGTGTAACAAAATCTAATTAGAGACGGAGAAACATTCTGTTTATACGTTTGCCGATTCTTTCTCCAAACGTTGCAACCGATTCAACGAACAGAAAGGACAGGTGAAAATGGGGGTTTAATGAAATTCTTAATGGTGCTACGGTTAAAACGCTTTTCTAAATGCACCACCACCGTGGAGCCTCGAATTATAAAAGGTCGCTTTTAGATGCTTTTAACAGGCATAAAAGAAGAAAGGGAACGGAGCTTGATTATTTTGTGCATTTTAAGATATACCGTGGTAAAAAAGGGGGAAGAAATTTCTTAGCGGAACGTTTCTTCGTGCATCAGTGAAGGCATTGTGCAAGATTTTTATAGACCATTTTATTTTACATTATATCATGGTTCAGAATTTTAATTAATTTGTCCATCAATTCACTAAATCTTTTCTTATTTATTTTGTACTTCTTTTGTTTAGTTTATATTCACTTTTGTTTATTTTGTATTCACTTTTCTTTCATTTAATATTATTTATTTTTTATACGAAGTGTAGATAGTTTTATTAAATTTTAATTAGTAGAATTATTTTAATCTGTTGACTGATTATTAGCAAAATGAATTTTAGTTTATTGATTAATATTTGTCAAAAATAATTTTAATCCATCGACTGATTATTGAAATTAATATCTCAATAAATTTGTACACATATACAAAATTAGTGCTAAAATTTGAAGCTAGTGATTTAATGTACGTTTGTAATTAAAAACAAAGAAGAATGATAAAATAAATAATAGTGAAAATTTAAAAAAGTTGTAAATATAATTTTTGTGTTGTCAATTTTATTGTTTAATGAAACGTTCCGTTACATTGTTTCTAAACCACCCTGTACACGCAACGAGCTTTAGAGATTAAGTGAAATCACACTTCCAAAGGCATCGACAAGTGAAACGTCACTTGTAAATTACAGTGAGTTACCGAGGGCTAAACTCCTGCTAATTGGTCTGCATTTGCAGATTCGATTTAATTTATCCGCATTGCTTATCGATGGTGCCTTGTTCAATTAGCGGTACATGTTTAGGCTGGACAAATCTAATACCTTATTAGCTTTACTTGCTACTTAAACTAGCTTCATTAACTTTAGTTGTTACCCTTAAATAACGCTTAAAGTAATTCATAAAATTACTTAAAATAAAATTGGGGATAAAATAAATTGAAAATTTCACATAACCTAAAAATTGAAAACTATACTTGAAAACCACTAAAATAATTCTTAATATAACCCTTAAAATACAGTAACTAAAATTACAATAACCCCTGAAATAACCCTTAAAATAACTCAAAATAAAATAAAATGACATGAAATAAAATAAACTGAAAATCTCACCTAACCTAAAAATTGAAAATTATACTTGAAAACCACTAAAATAATTCTAAAAATAACTCTTAAAATATAGTAACTAAAATTACAATAACATCTGAAATAACTCTTACAATAATCCAAAATAAAATAAAATGACATGAAACAAAATAAACTGAAAATATCACCTAACCTAAAAATTGAAAATTATACTTGAAAACCACTAAAATAATTCTTAAAATAACTCCTAAAATGCAGTAACTAAAATTACAATAACTCCTAACCTAACCCTTAAAATAACTCAAAATAAAATAAAATGACATGAAACAAAATAAACTGAAAATTTCACCTAACCTAAAAATTGAAAAATATACCTGACAACTCCTAAAATAATCCTTAATATAACCCTTAAAATACAATAACTAAAATTATAATAACCCCTAAAATAACTTAAAATAAAATAAAATGATATGAGATAAAATAAATTGAATATTTCAACTAACCTAAAAATTGAAAATTGTACCTGACAACCCTTAAAATAACCCTTGCAATAACCCTTAAAATAACCCTCGCAATAACCCTTAAAATAACTCTTGCGATAACCCTTGCAATAACCCATAAAATAACCTAAAATAAAATAAAACGACAGAAAAATAAAATAAACCGAAAGTTTCAGAATTCGAAAGAGAAAGATTCAGCCCCGTTCGAAAGCACTATCGCATCCCAGTAAATATATCGACCATCAGGTAGAATAATTTTACAAGCCCCAAAATGCCAGCTAGTTTTCCCCGCCATAAAACAGACGATCTCCGGAGGATCGATTCGTAAATTCGCGAGATGGCTGGCCCCGTAATCGAAGATATTTATTATATTTATGAGCTACTTACAGGAACACATTTACCGAGAGAGCTTACCGTGTCTTTTCGAAAAGAGCCTCGGATAGAGCTGAACCACTCTGTGATAATTTATGCCGTCACATCAGCGACTTCTCCTGCTTCAAATTCTCCTTCAACTAGTCTTACATCCTCGAAGAATCTTCCAAAATAAAATGGACGAGTTACTCAACTTTTTCTTCGCTAACTTATAACGAGACTTCTTCCTCGAAAAAAGAGAATTCGCGTTCTCGCGCCAGGAATTATTTAACGTTATGCAAAAGTTTCTGTCTTTATGGCAATATTCTTTATTAACCCCGACCTGGGTCGATTCCGACCCAAATTAGATACTTCAATTTTTAAACGAAAAATTCTCACGGATTTTATGAAATTGGTAAAAATTATCGAGGACATTGATTCATAATTGAAAGAGTTTAATATTTCATTCCTTGAATTAAAATATTCTCACGTGTACAGACATAATTACATAATTCATATATGTCAGTATAATTATAAATATATTTATCAGGTAATAAAATGATAGAAATAATTAAAACTTGTATTTCAACTATAATTATGAACGCAATTTAAAATTGTTAAAAAATAAAATTCCATCTGTTATTTATTTTGAAACAAGTATCCAAACGAGGAAGAAGAAAAGAAATTAATAGTATTTACGAAGGTTTAACAGACACCGACTCACCATTCGTGTGATAGAAATTGCAGCTCATCGGTTAAGGGTTGATACAAAGGGGGTGAAAAAAGATAGCGAAGAAAGGTGCAGACACTATCGAAGATACCCGAGGACGAGAACGAATCACAATTGAGTTTTTCTCGAGGAGGTTCGCAAAGATTGATGGTTTTAGTGTCGCAAAGAGTCGTCAGACTGTTTCCTCGAAGACGAACGAAACGAAACTCCGAGCAAACAGTCGTTCAATGCCGACAGATGACACGCGATCGATTTGCATTGGGACACGAATCGATGGGAATCGTGTCCGAGATTATCCACGACTAAAAAGTTGCTGCATAAACTACTTCACTCTGTTTTAATTAAATTATTTAACGATTTGTTACAAAATTTATAATTAATCGCAATATCAACAAATATTGTGATAAAAAATATAAAAATGTACAATGTATGTAAGAACTTGCATAGTGCATTAAAACAATAAATTATTAAATTAATTAACAAATATAAAAAAATATAGAGGTTATGTATATGTTCATATATTTGCAAAAATAATAATAAAAAAATATTATAAACATTCACTAATTATTTTGTCTAACTATGATTTGTTCCACTTGACTTGTTCCACTATGATTACTACAACTTGTTAACTTATGTTTTAACTATAATTACTAAAAGTTTATATTGTCATAAAATTTGTATATTAAAAAAATATGTTTTGCAAACAGTTTGACGAAACAGTGTAAATATTATGCTCGACAATTGATCTAAACGTTAAATTCATTCTCCAAGCAGAATGTCGGACATTTCAAGGTAGTCCAACGACGCTAAATAGAAAAACTAAGAGGCGCTAAATGCACGCAAATCGTTTTAAAATTAGACGCGTGGCGTCACAAGATGAATCGAGTAATTAAATCAAGATTACACTGGAAATTAGTAGACCGCTATTTTTTACAGGAGAAATTTATTGAAAGCGTAAATGAATTTTAATTAAAACGGAATGTTGTTTCCTGGCGTTCATTTTACTGACGGGTTCTTGGAAACTTTGCGAAAATTTCATTCGCGCCTACGAACTTTATTAAACTTCGAATGTTTGTGCTTTATGAAGTCACTGGGAACTTTATTTTTCTTGGAATCTTCTGATTTTGTAGATGGGTCGGAAGGAAAGAAATGAAAGAGATGGGAATTTTTATTGAGGCTTTGGTAGGTTAAGATTTTGGGTTTTGGGGAATTTAGGGAATTTAGGGAATTTGGAGAATTTGGAGAATTTGGGGAATTTTGGGAATTTGGGGAATTTGGAGAATTTGGAGAATTTGGAGAATTTGGAGAATTTGGGGATTTTTAGATTTTGGGAATTTGGGGATTTGGGGATTTAGGGATTTGAGAATTACAAAATTTGAGAAATTGGGGATTGAGAGATTTGGGAATTTGAGAATTACAAAATTTGAGGAATTGGGGATTTAGGGATTTGGGAATTTGACAATTTGGAAATTTGAGAAATTGGGGATTTAGGGATTTGGGAATTTGAGAATTACAAAATTTGAGGAATTGGGATTTAGGGATTTGGGAATTTGAGAATTACAAAATTTGAGGAATTGGGATTTAGGGATTTGGGAATTTGAGAATTACAAAATTTGAGGAATTGGGATTTAGGGATTTGGGAATTTGAGAATTACAAAATTTGAGGAATTGGGATTTAGGGATTTGGGAATTTGAGAATTACAAAATTTGAGGAATTGGGATTTAGGGATTTGGGAATTTGAGAATTACAAAATTTGAGGAATTGGGATTTAGGGATTTGGGAATTTGAGAATTACAAAATTTGAGGAATTGGGATTTAGGGATTTGGGAATTTGAAATTTGGAAATTTGAGAAATTGGGGATTTAGGGATTTGGGAATTTGAGAATTACAAAATTTGAGGAATTGGGATTTAGGGATTTGGGAATTTGACAATTTGGAAATTTGAGAAATTGGGGATTTAGGGATTTGGGAATTTGACAATTTGGAAATTTAAGAATTTAGAAATTTAAAAAATTGGGGTTTCAGGAATTTGGAATTTGAGAATTTGGGAATTTGGGAGATTGGAAGTTTAGGAATTTGGAAATTTTGCAACTTAAGGATCTGAAAATTCAAGAATTTAGTATCTCAGAATTTCTATAATGGGAATTTTAGAATTTTCAAGTTATACAATAAAAATTATACTTTGAAATTGAATTTCCAACAAAGTTTCATAACTCACTACAGTGAACTATCATTAATAACGTCAGTAACCAGCAAATTCCCCGTCGTTCGGGCTTCCGCGCTCTAGCACCGCCCTCTTCCACGACCGCGTACGAAGACTCACGAAAGCTGCCGAAGTATCGCGACTGCTATCGTCGCGCGGGCGACTCTTCACTATAGTATAGCGTTGACTGTACCTAACACTTAAGTACAACTGTATTTTAACACATTTTAACCTTCACAACGTAAACCTTATAATAAAATAAAATTTTGTATCATAAAGTAAAAAATGGATGAGGACATTGGTAATTGAAAAGACCAATAATAAAAGTCCTTTGACACATCTCCGTTTCCTCGACGATTTATTTATTTATTCTTTAGATCTTACAAAAGAACATATAATACATATTACGGCTTGACAGTGAATCCATAAGTAGTACAATATCCAAAAACCTTAGAACATATCGGTTAGCGCACTCACGCTCGTTACCTTAACTTAATCGTTCAGATTCTAGAAAAAATGGTAAAAATCCTCAAAAACGTCGATAGACACGTGTCAATAGTGTTTGCTTACGCACCTATCACGTTGTATAATACAATACGATATATAATCACGATTCGACGTTTCTTGCGAACAATGATGTTGGCGAAACGAGGGAAAGAAAATGAACCGTAATGCAAGAATGAAAAATGGCGTAAAAAGGAACTGTGTCCTCAAAAACAATTTTCCGAGATTTTCTTTTGCATCGGACACGTTCCTTTGCTCGATTGGCTCGATCCGTTTTTAAAGACAACTGTGATCAAATGGCGGACCATGAATCTGTTAATGAGCATCCTAACGACTAACACCGAACTTTCCTTATCTTTGGTACCTACGAGCTTAATATTTCTTTTTTTATTCTCAGAGGATGTTGTGTGTGTGTCAGTGTGTGTATGTATGTTTCTATGTTCGAGTGTGCGAGAGAGAGACAGACAGACTTTATTAGTAATAGAGAGTTGTACTTAAGCCTAGCTTATATTATCCTATTATGGGAGAATCAAAAAACTCGGAACACGTCTCTAGAACACGTTAACCTCCAATTTTATGAGAACGCTCTACGCACGTGAAACATCTTGGGAAACGTGGACCACCGTGCTTTGCTGCTTTTAACACTTTGACTGCCATAAAACAATCACCTCACTTATATCAAATTTACGTTCAAAATATTCTCATTTCATAAAATAACATTTGTTACATAAAATGACATTCATTACATAAAATCAAATTTTTATATTATACAAGTAAGTGATGTACAGACAAGACTGTAAGAAAAATTTCTAACCTTTTGTTTATCGGAAATTTATTGACAACATCGAAACTTGTAAAAGGTTTAAATAATTATAATACTTTTGTTCGAGTCTATACTGTGACATAATAAATAAATATTTAGAAGTTTTCTAATAAATAAATGTTTAGAATTTTTCTAATAAATAACTCATTTAAGAGTTTTCTAATAAGTAAGTCATTTAAAAGATTTCTAATGAACAAGTATTTAGAAGTTTTCTAATAAATAAATGTTTAGAATTTTTCTAATAAATAACTCATTTAAGAGTTTTCTAATAAGTAAGTCATTTAAAAGATTTCTAATGAACAAGTATTTAGAAGTTTTCTAATAAATAAATGTTTAGAATTTTTCTAATAAATAACTCATTTAAGAGTTTTCTAATAAGTAAGTCATTTAAAAGATTTCTAATGAACAAGTATTTAGAAGTTTTCTAATAAATAAATGTTTAGAATTTTTCTAATAAATAACTCATTTAAGAGTTTTCTAATAAGTAAGTCATTTAAAAGATTTCTAATGAACAAGTATTTAGAAGTTTTCTAATAAATAAATGTTTAGAATTTTTCTAATAAATAACTCATTTAAAAGTTTTCTAATAAGTAAGTCATTTAAAAGATTTCTAATGAACAAGTATTTAGAAGTTTTCTAATAAATAAATGTTTAGAATTTTTCTAATAAATAACTCATTTAAGAGTTTTCTAATAAGTAAGTCATTTAAAAAATTTCTAAAGAGCAAGTATTTAGAAGTTTTCTAATAAATAAATGTTTAGAATTTTTCTAATAAATAAGTCATTTAAAAGTTTTCTAATAAGTAAGTCATTTAAAAGATTTCCAATGAACAAGTCATTTAAAAGTTTTCTAATAAATAAATGTTTAAGAGAAATATTTCTTACAGTCTTTTTACTTGGTACATTATTTAATACAGTAAATGATTTCGAAGTTTCAGCGGACCATAAGGTAGGTGTCCGTAACAGAAGGTTTAACGAGGTAAAGAAGAGAATTGAAAGGTGGGAATTAGGATAATGGTGTGCAGGGTGATCGTTATTACAACGTGCGGCCATTACAACGTTCTACGTACGGCCATTTTCATTGCGGCAGTCAAGGTGTTACGAAATAACGTGGCGCACGCGGTAACCCCGTATAATTCTATTTATTCTCTCTCTTCCTTTTGTTTTATCTCTCTCTCATTTTATATATATTTATATCTACCCTTTCTTTTCTCTTCTTTTGTCTCCCTTTGTACGCGTGCGTGCGTCTCGATTGACAACAGACGTCGTGCCACAAAATGCCATTTTGCAGGACGCTTTGGATAAAACAATCACGATGATGAGAGGTTAGAATTTAATTGATAGAAACGACACTAGAATCGACAATGTTGCGACAAATCTTTTTGGAGATTTAAGAAATTTATAGTAAGGTTACAAGAGATTTAAAACATTTATAATGAAGTTACAAAGTGAGGTTAATTTTATAATAAAATATAATTCTTGTTATTTGTAACCTGTTAGAGGTTATGTCTTTAATAATTAATAAAATTTGATTTCTTCAAAAAGGTTTCAGTAATATTTTTTATGAGCATTCCACAAATCTCTCATTACACTCGAGACCTCTCAATGCTAATTTAATTTTGCTGCTTAACAAAGAACTTTGGAGTTGCTGCATTTATTCATGGCTTCAATTAGGATTACTATGTACGGTGCACTCGATAACTGAATACAATTTTTAATTAAAACCGTCATTATCCTCGAATCGGATGCAAATATGCCAATTTGAATCACTTGATTCTTAAAGTTCTGCATAACGTTGAAATACGATCTTAATCGTGTTCTCAAAAGGTTGTGCAATTCTGGTGTCGTCTCATGTTCACACTATTTAACATTGGCGAGATATAATTAGAATAGAAAAGATTTTTGCGGTATTCGTTGGATCAGCTTGCTCACTTGCTCTTCTTCAAACGATTAACCCTTTGTGATCAGAAAGTTGTACTAAATATTTCAATTTTAAGTTTTATTTCACTTGAAGTTCACATTTATTTTCGCTAGGCAAGGTTAGTGAAATTTAAATAATTTCTACCATTTCAAAATTTGTTGTTACTTGAAATCATAATTATTATTTAAAATGATATTATTTGACATTTAAGAATGTTGGGTTAACATCCTAAGAATGTGACTTCAGACTTCAGTCTTCAGACGTCAGACTTCAGATATATTTGACATTGTACTGAACATTGTACTCAAATGATTCATTAACCTAACCTAACCTTATCTTATCAGATAACACCAGAAAATATCTGTAATATTAAAAAATACCTATAAAGATCTAATATTTCAGTTGAGTCAAATTTCCGACCAAAAAGGGTAAACGTCCAACTACGAATCTCCATCAACATTAAACCCCGTCTCCGGCCACGTCATTTTGCAGTCCGACCATTCATATACTATATATCGCGATACTCTATATATTATGATAACGCATATACTATGACAAACAATCTCAACATTATCGATAATTTTTTTTTAATCCTTTAGCTATTCTGTCCTCTGTAGATCGCGCTGGGGCAAGCGATACTCCACGTTATCAATCGGTCGTCCACCATTATCAGGGACCAAATACAACTGTTTTAGATTACCGTTCGTTCGTTTCACGTTACGATAAAAGCGACGCGGGGAACCATTTTGAACAACAGCAAAATTCCTCAAGTTCGTGGTCCATCGATCTCACACAGGGTTGCTAAATTAATTAGAAGGCAATCGAACTTAGGCGTGATTATACTTGGTCGTAACTTTGTGCCTCTCGTGCGAACAGCTCTGGATGGTACATTTTTGAAAGATGTACTGTTGCAAGGTTCATGGACTGGGAGGAATTTACAATATATCCAATTAATTTCTTAAGCAATTTGGGAATTTAGGAGCTAAGGAGAGTTTTGGGAGTTCAGGTGAATAAGGCAGGACCTAGGAAAGCTTAGATGTAGGAGTTTAGGGGATAGCTTAGAGTCAAAGTGGTGCGCAGAGTTTAGGGTCCGAGAGGAGAATGTGGTCTAGGGGGAGCCTAGAGACTAGAAGGACCCTAAGGACTAGAGAGAGTCGAAAGAGGAGGTCCTGGCTCAGGTGTACCTCAGGTACTCAGAGGCATAGGATCTGCAGGAGTCTAGGGACTACAGGTGTCTGGCCACCGAGGGAGTCCCAGAGAAAATATAGGACTTAGAGGCAATTAGGGGTCTGGGAGAAATTAATAGAAAACCTAAGGCAAGTTTAAGGATCAAAGGACTTCAGATGCTAGGATGCAGAACATATGAGGAGTCTAGGAACCTAGAGTCTGGGAGAAATTAATTCTCCTAAAGCAAGTCAAATGCTAGAAAGGATCCAGAAGTTTAGGTTGAACTTAGATTTAGAGGGAACCTAATTCTTGAAAACCATGGTCCTATTTTCAGTTTTAACCCAGAGTATAATGAACCGATTCTCTTACTATAGTTAAAGAGATCAACAGAACCGAGCTGTTAGCACGAGACCGTCAGCACCGCAATGTACATTAGCCTCAAAATCCTCCTATCTAACGACTACGAATAATAAGTTAACACCTAGGGGATGGCACAAAAAATGAACGAAGCGAAACTCACGATAATTCAGCAGAAGAAGAAACGCTCGTCTATGATACAAAAGCAACGACGATATCATCGTGAGGCATCGATTCCTCGAGCACGCAGCTCTTTTATCGTCTCGTTTTACACCTCGTCCGGCTCGTACGGCGTAGAAGACCGTACGAGGATTCTGTTCAGGGCGACGAGCTCGCTCTCGATTGTCTGACGTTCAATTAGGCGTCGCAATTAACGCTCGCTGAAGGAGCCTCGACGGAGACGAAGGGACGACGTTAACACACGGAGGGAACGACGAATGAATTCGACGCCTAGAATTCGTTAATTTATTCATTGTATGTATATGCCGCGGAAAATTGCCGACGGACGAGCGGATGAGATCCGGAAAGATTCGGAAAATCGTCGTAGACCGCGAGAATAATGGAAATCGCTTTTCATTCATTTTAGAGAACGTAAGACTTATTTCAGGTTTCAAATTGTAAGTCTGGCGTTTAATGTCTGAACACATGTTTGAGTAAGTTTGATGAAGTTTGTGCGCCTTTTTGTTAAATAACTCTTTTTTAATAAAAACAAGATGGAAGGATGACAAGATATATGTTTCAGAAATTTTTTATGGGTCATGGTTTGTGCAAACATGTGAAAACAGTCTTTCAGGTTTGAACAAATGATGTGGTGGTGATCACAAAATGATTTTGTGGTGGTTCCTCAATTGTCATAAACCCTTCGCAAACTCTCTACAGTTTATAGCAGTTTGTACAAACATATTTGAACATAGCATCAAGTTTGAGGAAGTAAAGAATACTTGTCTGTACAAACATGTCTGACTGACCAGTCAAACTTGACTAGTTTGAAGAAGTTTGTGTGCTCCATTTCAAAAAACATCTCCATGCATCAAAAGTGATGAGACATGTTTGAAATTGTTCCTCAACTTGAAAGGTTTAATAGAATTTTATAGTTTGTTGCTGTTTGTGCAAACTGGGGTGTAGTCTTCAAGTTTGAAGAGGTTTGAAGAAGTGTACTGAATGATTCCTCAATTCTGCAACATTTCCTATAAGTTCTTTATAATTTGTGCACAATTTGCAAACATATTTGATGACATTCTGCAGACTTGAATATATTTGAACAAGTTTGAAGAGGTTTGAAGAAGTGCACTGAATGATTCTTCAATCCTGGAACGCTTCCTATAAGTTCTTTACAATTTGTGCACAATTTGCAAACATATTTGATGACATTTGCAGACTTGAAGATATTTGAACAAGTTTGACGAGGTTTGAAGAAGTGCACTGAATGATTCTTCAATCCTGGAACACTTCCTATAAGTTCTTTACAATTTGAGTACAAGTTACAAACACATTTGATGACATTCTGCAGACTTGAAGATATTTGAACAAGTTTGAAGAGGTTTGAAGAAATGCACTGACTGATTCTTCAATCCTGGAACACTTCCTATAAGTTCTTTACAATTTGTGCACAATTTGCAAACATATTTGATGACATTTGCAGACTTGAAGATATTTGAACAAGTTTGACAAGGTTTGAAGAAGTGTACTGAGTGATTCTTCAATCCTGGAACCTTCCTATAAGTTCTGTATAGCTTGTGTACAATTTGCAGTCATATTCGATGACATCCTACAAGACTGAAAATGTTTGAAGAAGTTTGAAGAGGTCCATCAAAAGTTTGATAAGGTTTATAAGTTTGAGGAAGAACACATACAACAAAAGTATAAAAGCTTGTGCATAAAAGGAAACGTTCGTTAAAAATGAAAATACTGAACATTCGAATACGTCAAGAAATTTTCGCAGGACGTTCAATAATTCGTGGTAACGCTGACACTTACGGAACAGGTCGTTCGAGCGTATTGGAGTCGAGTTTTCGAGCTCAGAAAAGTTTTGTGCGTTTCAAAGGCGACAGAGACACGGAATTTCGAGAGTTTCTCGATCTACGACGATCTCAACGCCGATAAAACCGGCGCGATTGCACGGGGAATTGACTAAACGTGGATCGTCCACCGACCAACTTTTCCTTCCGTTCCCATCGTCGAACTCGATTCACGAGTGAAACGAAATTCTCGCGAGAACCGTCACGTTTGGCCTGAAATCGCCATGGCGTCGTGGAAAAACAATCTTATACATATATGTTTGTGTGTGTGTTTACATGTGTGCGAACAAGTTAAGCGACGATGATCTGGGCTCGATCGGAAAAGTCTTCGTATATTGCACCTCAAGTTTAGTTGAGCAGATAACGTAGCCAAGAAAATGTCGTGACATTGATTTATTAACCCTCCTTCGGGTCTATGTGACCCTACTTTCTCAATTTACTAATTCACTTATGTTAGTAAATTTTAATTAACAGACTTAATAATTTTTTGTGATTTGTTGATCTTTTGCTGTATTGGGGTCTATATGACCCCACTCACACTTCTTAATTTATATATTTAACTTTGTATTTGCATCTATTAATTTTGCAGCTAATTTCAAGTATGATTTTTGTACGAATAAAAATGTAGTGAACTCTTTTTTATATCGGGGTCTATGTGACCCTTTTACAAGATAATCTATCTCCTGTACTGTTGGAATTCGGTTCATCATTCTTTTCCGTTATTGGAAATGTATTAGAAATAAATTGTTTTAATCCGTGCACCGTTCGGGTCTATGTGACCCGTGTTCCCCCGAATTTATGTAGGCTTTACATTCTATACGTTATCGGAATTGGCTTAATAACTGTTTTATTGTGGAATTTATTGAAAATATATTGGTACGCGGTATTGATTTTGCTCGGGTCTGTGCGACCCATGCATGTTTTTCCGAATTTACGTGTCTTTCTAATTGGAATCTCAACAATTTTTTCATTACGTTGTTATATTAATGTTGGCAACGCGGGTCTGTATGACCCAGTTGCGTATCGATTGATAAATGTGATATGTCTGGATATTTTTGAAACAAACGTTTACTTTTTTAACAAAATTCGATTATCGAATTTGTACAATTTATCGATGATTTTTGTATTGAAATTTCTATACCTTTTTTAAGTTAACGAAGTTTTCATGTCAAAAAATGTAGGTGAAATATTTGTGGAGGAGGGTTAATTAACAATCAATTAATGAAAATTTCGTGATTAATTAGGTTAACTACGATTGTTCTCTCCTGGACACTTATTGTATACGATTAATACTATTAAAATTATGAGTAAAATTGAAAATATTGTAGGCTCGATAATGTCCCTTTTGATTAGATTATCCTGAATATTTATTATCGTTAATTATTCGAACACGTTAGAAGTACCTCTCTTAATACCATACTCCTTTCACAAACAGGAAGTCAATATACAAACTGTGCGTTAATTACTACAGTCAATAATATAACCAATTACGACATTAATTTTCTACAATGTATGAACACCGTCGATATACAAATGTAACCGAAAGAAGAAAACTTCTTGTTCCAAACACCACGAAGACTTTTTCCCAACGATCACATCAGACAACTCCACGGAATAAAACAGTCGAAAATGTTACAAAACCGTCACTGAAAAGTGCCTGTTAGATAAGCATATCCTATACAACGATATAGAAAGTGAATCAAAAGTGTCTTCTTTCCAGGCGTTTGTGTTTTCACGTGGAATCACGCTCGATATCCAATTCACCGCGTTTCCGACATGTCCTCAGCGATTCACAATCTCGTGATCCTTCCACGACAACAAAAGCACTCGTGGCATCTTGATCGCGAAAAGAAACGATTTATTCGACTCAACGTCGTCTCCGTGAAGCTCGACACTAAACCTAGATTCAATAGCTTCATGATTTATGGTGTTCCTTCAGCTATGCTTTCGTTTCATTAATTACTTGATTTTTCTGGGGACTCGATACGTTTGGAGCGGGAGAGCTCGGTAATTTCCTGCGCCGGGGGCTCCTTGTGGCGGGAAATTCAAATTAAGTTAAGCTTTTTCAAACTTTCAGTCACATTTCGTACATTACTGGTCTTTTTTCTTCAACCGAGGATATATTCTACCTTTGAAGAGTAGTTCACTGTTACTTATCAATTAATTTCAGCTAACATAGCTCCTCGATATATTCGAAACGTTTCACGCCACCAGATAAGCCAAGTTTAACGAGTGATCGTTCAAAAGCTTGAAAATCATGAGAGCTCAGTCAGACCAAGAAATATTCCACAAGAGACCACAGCTTTCGTTTCATTAATTACTCGATTATTCTGGGGACTCGATACGTTTGGAGCGGGAGAGCTCGGTACTTCCCTGCGCCGGGGGCTCCTCGTGGCGGGAAATTCAAATTAAGTTAAGCTTTTTCAAACTTTCAGTCACATTTCGTACATTACTGGTCTTTTTTCTTCAACCGAGGATATATTCTACCTTTGAAGAGTAGTTCACTGTTACTTATCAATTAATTTCAGCTAACATAGCTCCTCGATATATTCGAAACGTTTCACGCCACCAGATAAGCCAAGTTTAACGAGTGATCGTTCAAAAGCTTGAAAATCATGAGAGCTCAGTCAGACCAAGAAATATTCCACAAGAGACCACAGCTTTCGTTTCATTAATTACTCGATTATTCTGGGGACTCGATACGTTTGGAGCGGGAGAGCTCGGTACTTCCCTGCGCCGGGGGCTCCTCGTGGCGGGAAATTCAAATTAAGTTAAGCTTTTTCAAACTTTCAGTCACATTTCGTACATTACTGGTCTTTTTTCTTCAACCGAGGATATATTCTACCTTTGAAGAGTAGTTCACTGTTACTTATCAATTAATTTCAGCTAACATAGCTCCTCGATATATTCGAAACGTTTCACGCCACCAGATAAGCCAAGTTTAACGAGTGATCGTTCAAAAGCTTGAAAATCATGAGAGCTCAGTCAGACCAAGAAATATTCCACAAGAGACCACAGCTTTCGTTTCATTAATTACTCGATTATTCTGGGGACTCGATACGTTTGGAGCGGGAGAGCTCGGTACTTCCCTGCGCCGGGGGCTCCTCGTGGCGGGAAATTCAAATTAAGTTAAGCTTTTTCAAACTTTCAGTCACATTTCGTACATTACTGGTCTTTTTTCTTCAACCGAGGATATATTCTACCTTTGAAGAGTAGTTCAGTGTTACTTATCAATTAATTTCAGCTAACATAGCTCCTCGGTGTAGTCGAAACGTTTCAAGCCACCAGATAAGCCAAGTTTAACGAGTGATCGTTCAAAAGCTTGAAAATCATGAGAGCTCAGTCAGACCAAGAAATATTCCACAAGAGACCACAGCTTTCGTTTCATTAATTACTCGATTATTCTGGGGACTCGATACGTTTGGAGCGGGAGAGCTCGGTACTTCCCTGCGCCGGGGGCTCCTCGTGGCGGGAAATTCAAATTAAGTTAAGCTTTTTCAAACTTTCAGTCACATTTCGTACATTACTGGTCTTTTTTCTTCAACCGAGGATATATTCTACCTTTGAAGAGTAGTTCAGTGTTACTTATCAATTAATTTCAGCTAACATAGCTCCTCGGTGTAGTCGAAACGTTTCAAGCCACCAGATAAGCCAAGTTTAACGAGTGATCGTTCAAAAGCTTGAAAATCATGAGAGCTCAGTCAGACCAACCAGAAATATTCCACAAGAGTCCACAGCAAGATGGAGACGACGAAGAGACCTTCGAAGTGCGTGCAAGTCACCAGGCAGATCATCGAGTCTGAGGACACACACTTAGCACACACATACACACATCCACACAAACGCACACACACACCAGCGCGATTATATTTCGGGATACCGAGAAACGTCCTCGTCCTCGTCCACGGGCCGTCCTTCTGATCTGTTTCGTGGGTCGTTTGATGAGCAAAGCCGCTTCTACGTGAATAAAACCGACAGCAGAAGAAGCAGGGAACACGCGAGGACGGATAAATCGAGATGAACAGGCTTGGACGTTGAAGAGGACCAGATAGACCCCGATGAACCCACGCGAGCGTTCTCGTGACGACCTGATGGCTGCTCGGACGCCATTAAATCCTCTCTCGAGGGCTCTGGGCACGGTAGCTCTTCCAATTTCAGGTCGAATAAATTCTTCATGTAACCCACCTTTCCCTCTAATATCTGCATCTGAAACGAATTCGTTTACAATATTTTAATTCTTTATCAGTTCTTGTATTGTATTGTTATTGTATTGTCATTGTATTGATTTGACATGATTGGTCTTTGAGGATAGGTTTGAACAGGCTAGGAACTGTTCATTGGTGACATATTTGTAAAGGTGTAATTAGTAATTAGTTCGAAAGTGAAGGAAACTGTCTAAAGTTATAATTGTTTTAATATTGCAATTTTGTCGAGGTAATGTACTACAAAATTGCAAATATTTTGAAGTATAAAATTACCAGGTGAGGTGTAAAATTGTAAATGTATTGAAGCATAAAATTATAAGGTGAGGTATAAAATTGTAAATGTTTTGAAGTGCAAAATTAGAAATGTTTTAAATATGTGTATAATTGAGTGATTTTAATTAAAAGTTTCGAGTACCTACAGCAATTTACAGGTCAATATGCAGTTTGCATAAAATGAGGAAAAAATTCAATTATTTTTATCCAACACTGTTTCACGTCAATTTAGACAGATTGGTCTAATCTCTCACTTTGTAAAATTTGAACGTGTACAAAAAATGCAGCTTTATATTTTTATTTCGTAATCCCCAAACTCTTTGTGACTGTAAAAAATTAATTACTTAGTGTGCCAAAAAATGCAGTTCCAGTAAAATATCTTTCAGAATTATTTTATCAAGAAATGACAAGTGAAATAATATCCTGATGAAAGTTTTCTGTGAAAACAAACGGAATAAAATAAACACAGTTAACAGTAATTAAAGTAACAATACTAATTAAGCTTGTAGCCCTAATTAAAGTAGCAATGTTCATAAAAATCCTATAAAAAAGTTTTCCGTTAATGTTTAACCACTTGGCCATCGAAAAAGCATCGAAATTAATTTCTTCGAGTAAAATAGTCGAGAATAATTCGCCATACGCATTATCCGATCCGATTAACCGACATTCTCCTGTATACGAAATGAACTGCTAGTAATTATCATGGATTTCACGTGCCGATTAAAAGTCCAAAGTTCTGTCGAACGCATTAACGAATCGATTACACTTGTAAAATTACTGAATACAAACCGGTGAAACGCGAAATGAGAGGCTGTTTACGTGACAAACATAATTGAAAGCAAACAAATGGTGAAAATCATTACTGCAGGAAATGTTGACACATTTTTCCGATTTAATTCGATAAGCTAACTCGATCTCCGAAATATTCCATCGTTTTTCAGCTGCAGTTTGTTTAAACAACTTAATATGTTTATGGACATTAATTGAAAAGCAAGGTAAAAACAGATGGAGTTAAAACTTGTTTCATTGAATCGAATTTAAAATTGAATGTTTAACAGTGAAGTGTAAAATTGTAGTTTAATTTTAAATATAAGGTGAAATAAGGTTGTACGATTGTGTTTGTTTAAATCTTAAATACTTTCTTACGACATCGAACAAATTGTGGAAAATTGTGAAAGACAATCGCTCACCAAGCAATCAAGCGAAATCCCCAAAAATCCTTTTAAAATCGTCGAAAATCGATTCCATTCTATCAAACAACGAAACACAATTTTATACACCCACCCCTCCACATCCTGCCCACCCTCTGTTTCTCGGTCGTAAAAAATCATTTTCCATTCGACATGATATCAACATAGAAACAAAACGAAAAAAAAAGTTCCCACAGACAGGATATTTGTTGGGAATCGATTTCGCGGCTGTCAAAACGGAACAAAAAACATTAACTGTATCGGATGAATTATGACGAACAACGGTTTATTTCGATTGCAATCGAGGACAAAGCAAAATGGGGAACAGTCGAGCCGGCTCTTAATTGTACATAAAAATGTACATAAAAATCGAGCTCGGTTAAACAAACTCCCGGATTGTTTTATAACCCGATAAATCTATGCTTGAAAATAAAAAAAAAACCGACGAAATAAACTAGGAGTTGCTTGGAGTAGCGGTTATTCGATTCTCGAAAAATCGTCACGAGTTTCTGGCTTATCTGTATTATCGTCCGACGGCGATTTGAATAAAAAATAGTCGACGCGAAATTCCGTGCACGTCGAACAGCGAGAGAGAACGAAAGGTAGTCGAGTTTCGTGATAAGAAGCTTCGGCGAGATTCATTTTATACACCGTACAGGGTCTCTCGCATTTTTGCTCCTCTTTCTCAAAGGTCTCCCTGCGAAGAATGGAGTACTGCGAGAAATCGAGAGAAACTTCCCAGTTTTAAAGTTTGGTACATGGCGTTTTTGTTGGCTCGAATACTTTTTAATTTCATCGGATTTTTTTTTATGCTTTATGACGAGCTTTCATACGTTTTGGTCATTGGGGGATGCTGCAATTTTTATTAGGATTGTTTTTATTTTGGGATTTGGTATTTTGGAAATTTTTATTTTTGATAAAGCTCTCTAATTCGAATTTTTTATATTTGATAATTTGGAACTTAGTTATTTCTATTTTTGAAAGGCTATATTTTGGGTGGATATTTTCCATATTTTTGAATTTGGTATTTTGGATATTTTTGTGTTCGAAAGCTCCCATTAATTCGAATTTCCTATATTTTCTAGTGCTTTTCCGGTTATTTGTGTATTTCACTATTTTGGACAGCTCTATATAACTCAAATTTTTTACATTTTCAAATTTGAACATTTCGGAAAAGCTCCTTAATTCGAATTTTCAAATTTGAATTCGAATAATTGGTATTTTGATATTTTTATTTTTTAAATTTCCACTCAATTTGAGTTTTCCACAAATTTTTGGATATAATTTTTCGAAATTAGACGTGAAAAAATCTTGCGTCCTCATCGGGATTCGATCCCGGTACCATTAGATTACTAATCACGTACGTTAGACACTACACCAATATACCAATTAACAACATCATCATTTTTTTTTATTTTTCCTCATCAATATCGACATGCAAACTCTCTAACAACAAAATAAATTATTGCAAATAAAATGAACGTCTCAAAATAAAAAATACAAGATTATCGATCGAACCTAATTCGCGAGAAACCTTTAAGAATCCACCGAATCGAATGAAAATTGATTCTGTCCGTTGGGAGAAAGAAAAATATAGAAAAGTAAACGTATATCTTACCTTCAGCTGAAAATCGGAATTCGAGGCGGAATCTTCGTATCCATCTTTACCCTCGTACTCGTCGCCCAAGTAAGCGTCGTCGTCGTCGATGCTACCACCTCTTGAGTTTCCAGCAAGATATTCCTCTGTAACATGGTAGAGCCGAAAATTCGCATAAAATTCGCACAGAGGTGCTGTTCAAAATGCATTTACGGTTGTTGCTTTTTCATTCTAACAAGAGTGAAATATTTCACTTGCAAAATAAGGACGGGCAATTTCTTTTCACCCTCCAACGCGTTATCTTTTCTGTGCATGAACATTGCTGATACACTGCTTTGCAAAATTGGGACTTGGAGATTGGGGAATTTTGGGATGAAGGGATTTGGGGATGGGGGAGTTTGGAGATAGGGGATGTAGGGATTTGGGGAGATAGGGATTTGGGGATATAGGGATTTGGGGAGATAGGGATTTGGGGAGATAGGGATTTGGGGAAATAGGGATTTAGGGAAATAGGAATTTGGGGAGGTAGGGATTTGGGGACTTGGGGATTTGGGGACTTGGGGATTTGGGGATTTGGGGATTTGGGGATTTGGGAATTTGGGGACTTGGGAATTTGGGGACTTGGGAATTTGGGGACTTGGGAATTTGGGGACTTGGGAATTTGGGGACTTGGGAATTTGGGGACTTGGGAATTTGGGGACTTGGGAATTTGGAAATTTAGGAATTTGGAGATTTGGGAATTTGGGGACCTGGGAATTTGGGGACTGGGGAATTTGGGAACTTGGGAATTTGGGGACTTGGGAATTTGGAAATTTAGGAATTTGGGGACTTGGGAATTTGGGGACTTGGGAATTTGGGGACTTGGGAATTTGGGGACTTGGGAATTTGGGGACTTGGGAATTTGGGGACTTGGGAATTTGGGGACTTGGGAATTTGGGGACTTGGGAATTTGGGGACTTGGGAATTTGGGGACTTGGGAATTTGGGGACTTGGGAATTTGGGGACTTGGGAATTTGGGGACTTGGGAATTTGGGGACTTGGGAATTTGGGGACTTGGGAATTTGGAAATTTAGGAATTTGGGGACTTGGGAATTTGGGGACTTGGGAATTTGAGAACTTGGGAATTTGAGAACTTGGGAATTTGGGGACTTGGGAATTTGGGGACTTGGGAATTTGGGGACTTGGGAATTTGGGGACTTGGGAATTTGGAAATATAGGAATTTGGGTATATAGGGATGTGAAGATGTGAGAATTTGGGAATGTGAGAATTTGGAAATATAAGAATATAGAAATGTACAAATTTGAACCCTTAAAATTTTAGAAATATTTCACTTTTTGATTGTAGTCTCATTCTAACATCCCCAAAATTATAAACACCAAACAGACAAAGTCTGTTAGTTTAAATTAACCATATTATTGTAAGTATCATCCAATTAACTGTGCACACACATGTGATGACCAAAGATACAACACATTCAATATTCTCACCGACATCAATTACTTCATGATTTTTTGTTTCCCGATTGTACATACGATTGTTACGGTAAACGGTACACTGATGAAATAAATAAAAACCATGTTTAATGGAGCAGCAATTTATTTTACAATACCACGTTGCAAAAGGTATGCTCCATTTGCGAAAGAATTGTTAAATTTTATATATTGAAATCAAATACTGTATCGCAAATAATGATGCGGAAATATCTGATAAATAAAAGCGGAATAAATGAAATTGTTTCTTCGCTCGAAAAATCTGTGTTTTCTGTTTTTTATCTGGGAGATTAAAAATATTGCTGAATAGGGTAAATAATACTTGAACAATTTTATAGTTTTAATACAAAATTGAGTTATTTTATTTTGGGTAGTGTTGTAATGTTTGTTTTGGACGTAAATTATTAGGTGAAATCATTTTTTTAATTTGGTGTTGGGTTATTTGGGGATTTAGGGAGGTGGGAGTTAGGAAGACGGGGATTTAGGAGGCTGGGAGTTAAAGGAACTGGGACTTTAAGAAGGATTGGGATTTTAGGAGGCTGGGAATTTAGAAATTTGGAAGATTAAGTATTTGGGGATTTAGGAAGCTAGGGATTTAGGAAGTTGGGGATTTAGGAAGTTAGGGATTTAGGAAGTTGGGGATTTAGGAAGTTGGGAATTTAGGAAGTTGGGGATTTAGGAAGTTGGGGATTTGGGAAGTTGAATATTTAGGAAGTTGGGTATTTAGGAAGTTAGGGATTTAGGAAGTTGGGATATAGGAAATCAGATTTTAGGAAGTTGGGGACTTAAGGACCCGGGATTTAGGCAGCGGGAATTTAAGAAGTTGAGAATTTAAGGAATCAGAAATATTATAATTCCAAAATTGATTATTTTAGAACTTTAAAAAATCGCAAATATAATAACTTTAAAATCTCCAAAGTTAAAAATTTTACAAATCCCCTAATTTGAAAGAGTCTGTAATTCATAAAACCATCTAAAAAGCTAGAACCTTACAACAGAAAGTTACGTTAATCCAAACGTCGTCCCACAGCAAACCTAACCTTAATCCAAATCCAAAGACAATTCCCGCGGTCTGGAAACTCCGCCATCATCCCGCTTAATTCATACATCAAAGGATCCCTGAAGAGGATGCACATAGACACAGGCAGTGTCTCGATAGAACAATAGAAAAGAAGTTTCTTAAGGAGTAGCTTCTTATTCTTTCAACAGAACGAGCAAAGTGAAACGTGCAAGCTTTTCGTGCAGCAAGGTTCTTTCAATCCGGTAGGAAAAGCCGAGAGGACCTAGCTCGCAGGTTCCGGCGAATATCGTATTCAAAATGGGGACAACATCAACGATTCCAGGTTGCAAAATCTCGTAATACAATGGAGGAGGGCGTGGGTTGGGGTCGTGTAAGCTTTAGAGGAGAAGAACCAACCGTGATTTCGTGCAGCCTCGAGTGCCTCGTTCCATTCGAGGTCCTCGTTGTTGATCTTCAGCGTTGCGTTATTGCTCTCCAGGAAGCAAGTGAGCTCCTCCAGGGCGTCCCGTAACTTCCTGTTCTTCGTCTCGTTCCTTAGGCCCCAGATCCATGCCAGTTTGCAGTCGCAGATCAGTTTATTGCCTGGAACCAGAAAAACGGGTCCACGTTTAGTTAAGTCGACTCGTGACGTCTTGCAGATAAATCTGGATTATCTGGAGGAGATATGACTTTTTGTTGGGGAAAATACTGAGGGGAAGAGAGGAGAGAGGAAGCATTTGGGGGTCAGATTTAAGGAGTTTTGGGGATTTGGGAAGGTGGGGAATTAGGGGGAGGGGAATTTGGGGCTGTGACAAGCTGGGAAGTTTGAGATATGGGAACTTGGGATTTGGAGATGGGTTAAGAATTTGGGGATATTGGGATTTGGGGATATTGGGATTTGGGGATATTGGGATTTGGGGATATTGGGATTTGGGGATATTGGGATTTGGGGATTT